TTTGAAATAAATCATATTTACTAAGGGGAAAATATGAAAAGACAACATAGATACAGAAGATTAATAGCTTATTGGATATAATTATCAGATTATAATATCAGATTTAATAAAAACCTTTTGATTACTTATCAGATTTAATAAAAATCTTTTGATTAAATAATTGCAAGATGAACAGAACAAGAACATTTCTGACAATAAGAAAGCTCTGATAGCTTCATTTGTATACATGTTAGAAACTTAAGTCTTTTATATAACTATATATGTTATATATACTTTTATATTAAATTAATAAAACTGATGAATTGTGATAATCCCTGGAGTCAATAATAAGTGCAGTTAACAGGGTTTATATTTTTTATTGCAAACCTTGAGTTCCTCAGATGTGTCCATGGTTGATGTGTATGCACGAAACAATTTCTTCTGTGGTTGGTAAGATTTCTCAATGGTTTCTGGTCCCGACTTTAGTAAATTAATTTTTTGAAATAATTTTGCTCTTCTTTTACTTACTTGAAATGATCTGAGCTCTTCCTGTCAGGTAAAGCACTGTTTTAGGCACTGGTACAGGAAGCTGAGGGGATACGAGTCTTAGAAGATATGACTTGGCTTCCTAGTAGAGGTCTAATAAGCATGAGCACCTCTTTTGTGTCCCCTGCGCGGGACAGGGGAGGGAACCTGGGCAGCATCCACGACAGAGCTTGATTAGGAAGCAGTCGTGGACACAGGACGGGAAGGACGTTCGCTTTGGAACGAATAGGGAAAGCAGCTGCATTATAAAGGAACAGTCGTATTTATGTCTCGGTTTTCCGCCACTTTAAATGTGGTTATGAAAAGCCATTGGCATTTCAATATGGTGGTGATTCTCTCAAATCTCCAAAAGACCTGAAGTGAGGTTTATCCTAACCCTGACAGATTAGAGTAAAAGAAAAAACAAAAAGAGCGAACATATGAAACAAAATAACACATCCCTGCTGGTGCTCCTTTTCAATCTTTTCTATGCTTCATCTGCAAATATTGTTGCTAGAGTTTTACCTGCTTAAATTTCCTTATAGGAAAGGAGGGACTGATGTATCTGTTTGAGGCCATACAATCTGAATTACTGAGGAATAATCTAAGGGAGATAGACCAGTGACTCTCAGACTCTAACCTTGGCATTTATCCAGTTGCCTCCCCCCCCCCCAAAAAAAAGAAAACAAACTAATGAAAAGGAAGGAAAACAAAGCAAAAAGAGAAAAACAAAGCAAAACTGGGTAGCTAAAAATATGAAGTTTGAAGATGGGGCTTATCTCCAGGGTTCCTGATTCTATACGTCTTGAATTGACCCAGGAATTAGTATTGTTATCAATCAGGAAGTGTGATTTTATGATTCCTTCTAAGAATTGAGAGCAAATGGGGTAAACCTTTAAATCTGTAAACAACTTCGGGCTATTGGCAGAGTTTGTCCTGGGAGAGCCGTGATTCTGGAGAAGCCCCATCTCCTGCTCAACTCTCTCCCTCGCCTCCTGCATCTTTCCTGGCCAGAGGAACTCTGGGTTCAGGTTTTTGGGGAGCTGGGGGAGGAAAGGAGGACCCTGGGTGGAGGAAAAGAGGGCACCATGAGAGGAGGGACCCTTGGAGGATGGGCAAGTCAACCGCCCTTTCTTGGCAATGTTGCCAAGAGCCAGTGCAGTGCAGTTAGAAGACCAGTAATTTGTCGTAAATCAGGACTCAAGGGAGCACATTGGCATCAGCGGCCCATCTCCATTTTATTGGGGGAAAACCCCTTGGTGGATTGAGCTTCACACAACTACATAGATTTATTTGCAAAGTTCCAGAATCCATCAAACTCCCAGATCAGTCCCGTATGTTTAGACGTCATTATTGTACCGTGAAAGCTACTCTTTATTTCTCTGTATTTTCTGTGTGCATGGAGTCCTGTTTGTTCTGTCTGTTTATTTGGGTGACAGTTGCTTTAGTTTTATGTTTGTTATTATCTCCCATTGATCCCTGTCCGTTATTTATTGTGCACTCATTGCCTCTCTCCCGAGTAACTTCAAGACAAAGTTATTTCAGCACAAGACAGTGGTTATGATGGGTGACGCACATGGAGGCATTCACCAGTTCAAATTAAAACATTGTTCCAGGGAGTGTGACAGACACAATCACTGCAGCCACCAGCACTGTGATGAGAGCAGGTGCCAGACCTCGTTTTCCCACCACACGGAGATAAGGATGAGCAGGAGGGCAGATGAGGAGGGAGCAGGGGGAGAAGACTGACTCCTGGTGCCTGCCACAATATCTTACCTATGGTTGTTGTGCGTCTCAGCTTTGGTGAAAGCCGCCACCCCTCGCTTTACTTTGTCTTGTCCGCTCCCAAATCCTGAATCTGCTCAGTGGCCAGCACTCTGCGTTTTTCCAAAGAACATTCCTGTGATTCCCTCCTCAGGGGAGGTGTTTGCAAAGGTGCCTTCTACCTGAAAAGGTGTTGTCAATGTCAACATGGAGGAATTGCTTCTTTCCACAAATGTAAAATCTTTCTTTTTAAGGGGGACGTGGGAAATGATGGAGAATCAGCTTTTATCCCATTTCAGAAAGAAAAACAAAAAAGTAAAAGTATCCATAAACTATGCTTTTCCTTCAACTTTGGTGATACTCAGGTGATTCTGAAGTCCAGGGCAAGGCTGTCTTCCATGTTCAGCTTCCTTCCTGTTAGGGGGTCTCTACCTTCGTGCCTCCCACACTCGAGCTGGCAGAGCACACGGAGGGTCTTGGGTTCTGAGTGAGAAGATCTGTATCCAAGGCACACATCTTCCCCCTGTGCACGTTCAACAAATCTGTGAGCCTTGGTTTCCTGGCATTCTAATATGAGTAAAGTTCTGCACAAGACATACCAGAGTTGTGGGAGAGTTAAAAACCATAGTGTTTGAAGATACTTCCCAAAATGTAAGCTGGTAGCCAATGTTCTTGTGAAGAGTGAGGTAAGAAGTGGGAGGTGAGACTCTGAGAAGCAGAGCTGCAGAGACCTGGTAGCCAGAGGGTCGGAAAATAGTGTGGCCAGATGGTGGCAGTGTGGAGAAGGAACAGAGGTTCATTGACATCAGTCACGGGAGGACAATCCCAGAGGACAATTCCTGGGGCCACAGCTAGGGCAAACATCTGACCACAGAGATAGGAAAGTAATAGCAAACACCATCATGGATTGAGTCTACTATGTTCAGGGGCATCTGCTACCCTGAACATCTAAACCTTCCTGCACAGCGTTCATAACTCTGCTTTCGATAACAGCATCCCATTGTATTAGGGATCTCCAGAGAATCAGAAGTAGTAAGATGCATGTGATTTTTTTATAAGAAACTGGATCTCAACAGTTATGGCAGCTGAGAAGTCCCAAGATCTGCTCAATGAGTGGGTAAGCAAGAGAACCATGGGAGCTGATGGTGTAGTCCCTGTCCAAAGGCTGGTAGACTCAGGACCCAGGAAGAGCTGATGTTTCAGTTGGAATTTTAAGGCAGGAAAACAAAACAAAACAAAACAAAAAACTAATATCTCAAAATGGAGGCAGGTAAGCAGGAAGAATTCTTTCCTATTCCGGAGAATGTCAGCACTTTTTTCTATACAGACCTTCTACTGGTTAGATATGGCCCACCTATATTAGGGAGAGCAATTTGCTCTACTCAGTTGAGTAAATTTTTAATGATCATCTATCTATCTATCTATCTATCTATCTATTTAGAATGGGAGAAGCAGTGGAAGGAGAGAGAGAATCCCAAGCAGACTCCATGCTGAGCATAGAACCCAACATGGGGCTCAATCCCCTGACCCTAAGATCATGACCTGAGCTGAAATCAAAGTCAGACCCTTAACTGACTGAGACAACTAGGTGTCCCAGTTCATCTAAATGTTAATCACATTCAAAAAACCCTCCCACAGAAGCTCCGAAAATACTATTCATCAAGTATCTGGAAAGTCTATAACCCAGTCAAGTTGACACATAAACTTAACCACGGCACACTGCTTTACAGATAGTTTAACAGACTCTGAGTAACTTATCCAGACCACATAGCTAACAAGTTGTTAGCAAAGATTCAAACTCAGGTCTGCATGCTTTCAGCTACTCTAGGTCTAGGCTCATTTATGTAAATCATAACTGTTTAAACTAAATATTACATTTATTTATTCTAAATATTATTAAACTATTAATTTAATTAAAAATAATACAATTTTAATATTTAAAACATTAAATGTTTAAATTAAAATATTATTTTCTAGTTTCTTCCCATGAATGCCTCCTCACTTTTTTTTTTCCAGAAATGACCAGAAAATTAGAACTTCTTTAAATATCTGATGTAGGACCTAGAATAATAAAGTTACTTAAATTTAAACCTGAGAACTATGACTTTAGAAATCAATTTCATAGATGATTTTTTTAAAAAATATTATCTATAGGTAATAAGCATCTGGAAGGATTGGCATTCTTGTACTTAACATTTTATTGAATATTTTATCCCCCGCACTCAGAACATGCTTTCCCATGTTTGCTCCCCATCAATGCATATTTGCTAAACTTTGCATGGTCAGATAACTACGTGAATAAATAAATGAGCAACTTTCAATTTTATCTACAAATTATCATGAATGTAGCAGATTTAGAAAGCTCTAGAGTCACCGCACATACACTGAGAGAGCAATCCCCTTGAGTACCTGGTGAATGATCATGGTTTCTAGACTGGCCATTGCTACTGGTGAGTGACTTTAGATGGAGAAGCTACACTGTATCACATATTATTTCTAGCTTCTGTCACTGTGGTTACAAGATATGATCTTGCTGTTTGATAGCCTTGCATTAATTATTCACAAGCTCTTCTACTTCATTTTCTTTGCATCATTAACCTCTTAGAACGTGTCCCATTTTCCAGAGCTTGGTAGGCAAGCAGTCATGACTGGAAATGCTGTGAAGATAAAGCACTATTTTATGGGATCTCTTTGAGTCGTACCTACTAATGGCTTTCTTTGGTTTCTTTCAGTGAAAAAGGCAATTGAACTGAAGTCAAGAGGAGTCAAGATGATGCCCAGCAAGGACAGTAGCCATAAAAACTCTGTCTGTAAGTCCTCTTTCTTTTTATATGAGGATTGATATGTCAATTGTGGTGAAACAGAGGATAGAATGGATGGATTCTAGAGAAGTAATTCTATAAACTGCTTTTCTCGCTTCATCTCTTGCTACTTTTCTACCTCTAAAAGTATTTTCTGACAAAGAATATGTGTTAGCTTCATGTTGTTGGGGAAGAACGTCATGTTAATATTCTCCTAAATGAATCTCCTAAATGTATCTCCAATCAATCTTTACTCTGTGTCCTCCTTAGTCACCGTGAGACTGGACCTTCCAATTTCTCCCTTAAATAAGTGTCCCACTGTCAGGTGTTTGATCCTGATTTCCTTTTCCATACCTATATATATCATACCCCACCCAGATTGGTGTGTGGGATATAGGAGGAGGCTTGTCTTATCATTTTCCTATTAAAATGTTCTGAGAAACTGGTCTGAAGAATAAAATAGCCTCACTGCCAGAAATGCCCTCTCTCCTGCCACTGAATGCAGAATTCCAAGCAATGCTTAGAGCACCCCCCTGACCCCACTTGGAAGCGTTTGCTGACACAGGCACAACTAGCTTTTCCCTGGTTTTGTTCCCCTGGTGTCATGTCCCTACCTATTGCAGTCTTTATTTGTCACAGTTTCACTGTGGGTTTACCTGTCCCACTATATGCACATCAGGCTCCATCAGCTGGTACCCAAGTGGGTATTTCCAGTGTGGTCCTTTCCCATGTGCCATGCTATTTTTAAGCTGTTCAAGCTGTTGGGTTGCCTTTTCTGTTCTTTCCGGTGACTTCTTTTGGTGTCCCTACTTACCCCACTCTCTTGGTGCTCCTTAGGGAATATTTGGGACCCATGCATCTTATCTCTTTTCTCACTGCCTAACACTTAGTAGAAGCAGAAGGCTCAAGATGGACATCTGGAGTTCCTGCAGCTCAATTTACTCTATTTTTATCCTTATGATATATTGGGCTTCTGCAGCAAGTTTTATCCATAAGAAATACTCCACAAAAACTAATAAACAAAAGTAAAAATAATATACATCATTTAAAAATTACTTTGTAGGTTGACCTATCTCTGCTTTCTTGATATCCCTATTCTATGGTGTCCTCACTGTTTATGTAACAATGGTCCGTTGACTGTGTGATGACCCTGTTCCCTGGCACTTGAAAAAGGCAAAGAAATAGACACAGACTCCTGGGTTGTAGGTGTCGAATACTGGGCATGTCTTAAATCTTTCAGGCTATCATAGCAAAGTAACCTGGATTGAGTGGTTTAAATTTATTTCACGTGGTTCCAGAGGCTGGGAAGCCTGAGATAAAGGCAGATTCAAGGTCGAGTGAGAACTTGCTTCCTGGTTCAGTGATGGCTGTCGTCTCATTGTACCCTTGCGTGGCAGAGGGAGAGCATCTCCTGTCTTTATAAGGGCACTAATCTCATCATGAGAGCTCCAGCTCATAACTTACTTACCTCCCAAAGGCCCACTTCCAAATGCCATCACAGCAAGGGTTAGGATTTCAAGAAACAATTTTGAGAGGTGCAAAGATTCCATCTATCAGATGGTGGATTCCTTGAACTCTGACTAGCTCAGGCCCTAAGGTACCCACCTGCCCTCCCCCACAAATCAATTTGTAAATATCTTCACTAGACTTTCTTTTTGATAATCATGGAAATGTCATTCAAATTAAATTGGACTTAAAAAAAGGATGGAATCCAAACAAAGGCAGAAAACAACTGAGGGGCGGAGGAAGAAAGGAAGGGCTTTAGTAGTAAAGTTTTAATATTTTATATTGTTAACTTCTAATTCCGGATGTTCAACAGGGTGGGGCTTGTGGTTCTTATAGTAATTTTGAAATTTATTTCTCATAGTTGAACTCCTTACTAAAATGACCCACAGCGATGTAGAACCACAAGGCAGGTGAACCCTCTATCCAATCCATCTTCGGTCTGACATTGAGCTCACCTGCTAGAGCCACACTTAGGCAGAAGATTTCTCTGTAAGGAGAACATCTCTCATCCTTATCTGAACAGGACACGGACTGACCAATACCTGCTTACTCATTTGGTGAGAGAAAACATTCTATCCTTTCTCCCAGTGGTATTCAACTTGTTTTTGATCAGACATGAGACTTAATTATTCGGAAAAAAAAATGAGGATTGAAACCTTCTGAGGACCTTCTAAGGTCAGTGGTGTAGTAAGTGATAAAATATTATTTCCATGGAAGGTGTGACTGGAAAAACAAGGGGCGTGTTTCCTAGAGAAATGGACATGGGTTTTGAAGCTAGAGAGACAGGACTCAGGGGTTGTAAATGCATGGATGGTTGCCAAGTTCAGGTTTCATCATTTATGAAGTTAAGGCCACAATGAGTTTTGTCCAATAGACAAAGGGAGGTGTTTGTAGATTGTCCATTCCAAGGTATGGCTCAGCAGGGGCATTCAGCAGACCAAATCCATCACAAACTTTCCATCTAGCAATGGGAAGAAGAGACAAACGTAAATAGAAATTTCATCCAGGAATTTACATGGCTTAGGGGATCTTTTTCTACAGAGGAGGAGGTAAGATTGAAACCACTGCACTTATTTCTGTGATCTTAGATAATAGTTTGGCCAATCATCAGAGGTGAGCCTACAACACAGAACTCTCCAGCATCCCTGCTTTATCCTGAGAGCTAGGTTCCATGTAGATCACAGCCTCCGAGGTTCTCGAAATTAAATCCAAGAATACAAGTATCTCTTGTACAACTTACACAGTTATCCTGAACTTGGTTCTTCTGTTCGAGAGTTTTGGTTAATGGATAACAAAATACCCATCACAGATGTTTAGCACAGGGGTCAACAGCCATGGCTCACTCTTGTCCCACCTCATCCTGTGCTGACCTCTGTTTCGTGTTTTTCATTGTATTTTGACATGTTTTGACATGTTTGACATGCCTATGTCTCTCTTTTTCACGAGACCCAGCACAGAGTAAGAGACGTGACAGATATGCCTGTGTGATTACCTTTTTAATTCCAGAATCTTCGATGGGGTGTGCCATGCAGTGCTCACACATGCTCACCTACTGGATGCCAGACATGAACAGACACAGTGACAGTCGTCTGCTCATACACCCAGCTCATGTCCATAGCAAGGGGCATGGGGCAGCTGAAGGAAAGCAGGAATGGGAGACCTCCTCTTACCTCCTTGAAAGTCCCTTCCACCTGGTTCTGCTCCAAGGTGCAAAGACCAAAGGTCACATCTCTTCCCAGACAAACTGACCCTACATGAGCCTTTCCCTCTGGATTAGGCGCTAATATTTTTTCCCCTTGTTGCTTCCAGCCTAAAGGCTGACAGTAGCCTAGCTCTTAGTTACAAGGTTGCAAGGGACCATACTATGCCTGGTGGCATGTCTGGATCTACTCTGAGATAAACAGCCCCCTTGTGAGTACTCCTGCCTTATAGGATGCTTCTCTGGAGTGACTCCTGTTCCTTCAACATCTTCCTGTTGAAGATGACAGAAACTGCTCAAGATTCTGGTCTACCACAGAAGGCAAACCACCCAGAGATTCAGGTGTTTGAAAAGAAACAAAGGAACACAAACACCAGACAAGGCAAGGAGTCCTGCCTTCTGGCAACGTCAATCCAAGTCTGCCCAAGTGCTGGGAAGAGAGAGGCCCTGGGTATAGAAAAGGAAGGATGTGACAGACAACCTCAAGGGACTCATGGTTTGATGATGGAAGGCTGGGATCATGATAGCAGTGAGATCATGGCAGTGCTGAGATGATGTCAAGGTACCATGCTTTATAGCCAGAGCAAGCCAGGATTTTATAACTTGTACATTGAGAAAATTTATGCCAATATTTAGTAGCTGGTATGTAGGTTCAGATAACCCATTTTCAAATGAAACAGATAACCCATTGTTTCATTTGAAAATAAATGGTGTATATTCCTGGATACGTCACACAGTCCAGTTTCCAGCCTCTTAGCTCAACTCCTCCCGGGCCAGCATGCATTTCCTCCCTAGACCTGCCTGGATTATCCATTTGGTCCAAGATGAGATCCATGAGAGAAGAGTGGTCCTCAGGGAACCCCCCAGCTGCCCCCTTCACGGGGTCACGCATCGCACTTCCTCATCAATAGCCCAAACTAACATGCACTTAGCATGGATCTACTCATCAGAGGAAGAAAGGGAAAACACGTGAAAGGCTCATTCTCCCCATTGTGGAACAAGAGCCCTACACATTCTCTGTTCTACTCTTCTCGACGGAATTGAGTCTTCTGTGAATTTTGCTCCGGAATCCCTGTGTTGGTCAGTTTATTCCGCCAGCCTGGATTTCATGTACCAACGAACCCTTAGTGATTCACCTTCATCCTTAACATGCATAAGCTTCATCGCAGAGGATGGGGCGATGGCACAAGCTATGGAGATGCCTCAGCCTCTACATAATGAGGGCGATCGATTTCCTACATTACTCTTAGAATTAAATGACAGAGGAGTTTACTTTTTTAAATCAGGCTCATTTGTTATTGATTAATAATGTTTTCAGAAAATCTCCAAGATAATTAAGGTGTTAATTCTGGCTGTTGCTCTAAATTTCTGACTATTTTAAGCTTTGAAAAAACTGCAGCATCAATGGGGGCTTCATGCAAAGAAGGGCATCTTTAATACGCTCAGCGAACATCCTATCCCTATCTTCCTTACTTTCCCTCAGTGAGGATGGGCTCGCCCTTACTCTGAGATTGGATCCTCAGAGTAATTTAGTAATCCAAGAGATTATTAACTTGCCACTGCCTATTTTTGAACAATGGTAAAGAGTAGACATCGTTTCTTCTCCCTCTTCTCTTTCTTGGCTTTCTCCTCGAAAGAATACAGGTTTAGCAACCCCAAGTGTGAGAACCCTGAGGCTAGATAATCCATTGGTACCCTTCTAATGCCAAAATATGACAATCTCCAGGAAGGATGGTCAACGGAAGCCTCGGTTCTTATTTTCAGCTAGAGATTGTTTTCCCCGTGTACAGTTGAAGACAAGCGA